CATACATACATACATACACACATTCAATCATACACGCAATGCATGCATACATACACACATTCAATCATACATGCAATGCATGCATACATACATTCATTCAGACAGTCACTCAAACATTCATTCATTCATACACTATTCCACAGAGAGCACTTCGACTAGTATGATGCCTCATCCCGAACTCACGGGAGCAATCTCGTGCTTTCTGCCCGAACCTAGTCACTAGTGGAAACACACCCAAGGGACGAAGCTTCGAATCCAGCCAAGCTTTCTAGCCGCGGGGCACCAAGCCGTGGCGCTAAACTCTTGCCCTCAGCCCTTTTCCTTCGGGCCCTTGCGCCGACGGGACTGCCGTATGCCCGCTTCATGAAAATCCGAAGCCCTAAAGCCTAAACCACGCGAAAGCTGGTGCTCAGGGCCCTGCGACACCCCGAAGATGGTCTGCTTCGCCCTTCGTTGGAACGGTCGATACACAGCAACTTCGGGTCACCTCTACTACTACGTATGACCATCCATCGTCTATCCGTCGATGCATCTACATCTACATACCAGTCTGGCTAACTATCTATCTACCTATCTACCTATCTCCTTGTTTACCTATCTATCTACCTAGCTACCAGCTACCTACCTACCTATCTACCCATCTATCCATCTACTTATCTATCTATTTGTCTGCCTGTCTATCTGCCTGTCCACATGTGTCTGTGTATGTTCATGTGCGTCCGTGCCGTCTCCTGATTTGTTTACTTTTCGCACATCTGCCTGTCCACTTGGTGACTTAGCTTGCCTGGTGATTGCTGAGCTCCAACTCACTGTGCATTGGTTGTCTGACATTGATTTACTCAGACATGTTATACATACATCATACACAAATGTCATGATACATGCATGCATACATACCTTGTGGATACTCTCTCTCTTGTACTGTACAGCCATATATCAAAAGGTGTGGTTAAACGTGCAACAACATAGGTTGACAGTCTCTCGAAGTCTCTCTCTCTCTCTCTCCCTCTCTCTCTCTCTCTACAGTATATTACACGTACACACCTCTCTATATATATATATATATATGCACACACAAACAGACACCTTGCTCGGTTCAGGCTCAATAGAAAGCCAAGACAAGATGAGTTCAACTTATCTTAGAGATCAGCTCAGGCAAGGCATGAAGGCATGTTTGGGAGTTTCCGAAAATTAGGGGGTACCTTATTTTGGGGTCCTTATAATAAGGATCCTACTATTTAGGGTACTATTTATCAGGGTCCTCTATTTTCGGAAACCCCCGTTTGAGAGTACAGTGAGTGCAAAGTCTTGAAGGTGCCGATGGCTCCCTCAGCCAACCTTGCGCTTGTGGCCTAGTGGATACTTGTTCATGGTTGGGGTAGTATTCAAAATTTAAATGTATATTCCTTATTGGGTTTAAGTACCCTTAAAAATGTAAAATGTTACCCAACTATGACAAAGGATACACTGCTAGACACTGTGGACTCATGAATACGCAGTTCCGGCACCCAGCGATTCCCAGCGATGCAACGGCACGAGACAGGTTTTCCGAAAAACCCGTACACGACAGAAAGTCCACCCCTGCACGGCTAGGTGTACTCTCAAGTTCTAGCAAGCCCTGCTTGGGTCAGAAAGTTGCCAAGTCCTGGCTACAAGCGCAAACGGATCAGCACGAAACGTGCGAAACTCATTTTCCACTGCATCCCGCCAACAACACCGAAATACATGGCAAGTACGGCTGCTGCCACAGAACTCACGACATAATTACCACAGGCCATTCTTCGAGAAAGCTTGCAGTTGCCACCTGTTGCACATACCTGCACCCCTTCCTTGATGGCTACACTGGTATTGTCAAAGCGCCGTAACCTAGAATCCTGCAAGCTCTGAATCCGTTAAGGACGGGAAGTTGACCTCGGGCCCTCCCAGCCTTCCACTGCTCTTCGATGGCCTGGCTTTGCTCGTTTCATCTTCGACTGCGGGAGTAGGTATTCTCAACACTTGGCTACGCCTTGTGAACGGCATGCGAGTTTCCGATGCCCCCTGAAGCTTCCATCGGGTCCCCCATTAAGGTAACTCGGTAACTCTTTCCGAAAGTTGCATATCCCATCCCAGAATCAACCGATCTGCACCGTTCCCCCATGGCAGAGTCCCGACCTCCAACTCCGGCCTGGGAGGAGAGGGATTGAGACATGGCACCGACTCTCACTCGCACATGGGCTCTGGACTTCAGGACCACCGGTCCACTGAGCACTACAGAACTTCTGTGATCGAACACAGCAAGTAACCGCCATCACTGCACATGGCTTCGATGTCTGAAGTGGCGGCGTCGTGGTCGCTGGGGACTCTGGAATCCTCCGAGGTGCGCAGAGAACACGCTGTCATGTCTTGGCACTCAGACTCGGACTGAATTACCGCACCGAGCTGCGATTGCGTTGTAGGCGTTGTTGTATACATATCGGACTCCTCGCTGCCAGTCCTCGTGACGAGATGCAAGGCACAGTTCAGAATGAAACTCTGGCAAGAAGTTCACTGTGGTATGGTAGATATGTTCACTCTCTTCTCCGGCCGACCTAAGCAAGCTGCCTGAAGAAACAAGGCCGACAAGTTGCGTGGCGGCGGGACTGTATGTTTTAGAGCAAATTGCATGACTTCGTGCATGTGGCTGTGGAAATGGAAGGTTTCGTGCTGCAGGAAATCCAGGGGCTCAAAATTAGTAAGGTATGGCACTCATTTTAGCACACGTTCCCCAAGTCATCCGCGTTGGGATCCAACTGCGAGCGCCAGACCCAGCTGTAGATGTGTTCAATGAGACGCACGTTGCATAAGAAGGCAAAATCGCTCGAAATAGCTGGGTTTGGGGCATGCTTGCAAAATGGCAGGAACACTTGTGACCGCGCCTCGTGTTGCTGAACATCAAACATCCTCCTGCAACATGTTGTAAAAAGAGGCAAACATGCTGCAAATAGCAGCGTTTGGGACATGTTCACAAATGTCATAAACACTTGTGACCGCGCCTCTTGTTGCTGAACATCAAACATCCCCCTGCACATGTTGTATATGCAGGCAAAAACACCGTAAATAACAGGGTTTTTTGGGTTGGCTTGTGTAACATGGTCGTAGCCACCCCTGTCCCCCTCCCCCCCAACCCCCCTCCATACCCCCCCCTCAACCCTTCTCCGGATA